AGGTCAATTATTGTATAGAGGTGTGGGGAAATACTTATAAAACCACCTTACAGCCGTTATTTAATCTTCAAAAAAAAAAAAAAAAAAAAAAAAAAAAAGCAATAAGAATAATACATTATGTAGGATTCTATGAGCATACCAGTAATCCATTTTTAAAATCTAATCTACTTAAGGTCAACAATATTGTTAAATATAACTCAGTGCAAATAATGTACAAAGTGAAAAATCAACTTCTTCCACTGAACTTAAAAAACATTTTAGGGAGAGAGAAGGATGCTCAGAGGCCAAAATAACATGAAACAATCATTTGTACGTACCACACAAAGACTATGACCATTTCCGTCCGAGGAGTGGTTTGGTGGAATAGCATAGAGGAAAACATAAAAATGTAAAACTGTTGTACAATTCAAAAAATTATGTAGAAGAAAACTTTTGGAAAATTACTAATTTGCTAATGAATTATGATAGACATTAAGCAAAGTCAATAAGGTCTAATTTAGAATTTTGATTTAGACTTTGGATGTTTTTTAAGATGTAAAAGTATAAATGTTTATAAGATTTCTTGTTAATGTGAAAATTTAAGTTTTGCCTATTGAATTGGTTCATGATGTATGTGTAGAGATGTTTATTTGGATTTTGGAAATGGAAAGATGTTGAGGGATAGGGCAATGAAAAGCCTTGAGCTTCTCCCTATTCCCTTTTAAGGAACAAAGAGGAATCTCTAAATCCTCTAAATAAGAAATTTTTATTTTGTATTTGATTTTAATTTGTTTTAATGGTCTGAAGTGAATAAACAAACAAACAAATTATTAATTAATTAATTAATTAATATAAATATATTGAGGTTATTTTTGTGTCACAAAACGTTTGCAGAACTTGAATTTCATTAAAATAAATAAACAAAATTAAAAACTTCAGTTCTAAGGAAGTACACATAGCAACAGATGAGTGATTTAAATCTCCTGTAACTCCACCCCAACATTTAAAAGAACTTTAAGGACTTTTGAATTTTTATGCTCGCGATTGCCCCCTCAGGCCAAAAGCTTAACAGCAGCTTCAATAGTAGGTTTGTGCACTAGACGCACATGCTGTCCTTAATGAAAATAACAGCTGAGACAGTCCCGTGTGTGTGTGTGTGTGTGTGTGTGTGTGTGTGTGTGTGTGTGTGTGTGTGTGTGGGTGGCCCGGAGGACAGAGTACAGGAGAACACGCAGCTAATTAATTAAATAATATGGTTCTGTACCTTTCTCTTCAGCACAGCCGACAAAGGTTTAAGATGGGTCAGTCCTCCTGCATGCTCAGATCATTCCCTTCCCTTGCTCGAAAAATTGTTCCAAAATGAAAGTTGAACCCACATCTTTTTTTTTTAATCTGTGAATTCAATGCCGTTCGGCGAGTCTCAAAAAAAATTTTGGGCATCTTACTGTAAAAAAAATATCATTAATGTAAAAAGGAAACTCTTAATAAATTATGTTCACACCCAGAATCAAACCCAGGTCTTCTGCAAGGGAGTCAGACATCTTACAAGGTGAGCTACACTCTAGTAACATTCAGATTATCTGTAACTTTTATATCCTTGATGACACCTGAAACAATGTCAAACCAAAGAACGGTTCGAAGCGAAAATGGCTATTTTGTTGCTAATTTGCAGGAAATATCTAGAAGAAAGTTCTACAGAAAGTAGCTAAGGGTCCTCAGAAATGTAGTTAGGTTCATCACTAGGCGTTAGGAACAGTGATAAAGTCGGTGAGTTGGCACTACCTCACTCTCTGCTGCTAAATCTACGGATAGCAAATGCTACGGGCTATGCCTGAGCGTGAACGTTCATGAAGCAGCCTGCTCAACCCGAGCAGCTCTCTTTTTCTGTGATTTTACAGAAAAACAGGCAATCACAGTAAAAATGCCAGGGCTCATTCTCCAGGACCAGGGCATTGCAGGAGAATGTATGAAGAAGAAATGTATTATTTCTATACATGTTTTGACTGTCAAACTTCCATAATGTCCCTTTAAAGTATGTAAGAGAGTTCAAATTATTATTTTATTCATTATTTATTTATTTAACTTATGTTTTTCAGGAGGATAAACTGCTTGAGATGCAACATCTCGTTTTCGAGCAGGTCCTCCTACAACACAACCGATAACAAATAAGGTGGCAGAGTTAGAAAGTTATAACAGACTTAAAAAAGAGAAAAGAAGGAAAGTAAATAAATAATAATAGTAAAAATAATGATATGTATAAATATATATATACACACGTAAAAATATGCGTATACACACACATATATACACATATGCATGGATACATAGATACCCACACATGTACAAACGTACATACATACCTATATACACAGTTAAATTAAATAAAACTAAATTAAATAAAACTGCTGTGAGGCACTCAAAGAGAAATAAGGGCAAAATATTACATCGTATTTAAACCTAAAGTGAAGTAATATCCCAGTTGAATACAAAGATTGGCAACAAAAAACAGCATTTTAGCCAGTGAATGCACTAAATCATTATAACAAAGATTAAACAACGCAACTACAGCTCGGCTTTACATAAGCACAAACAGTGCGGGAAAATTGGTGAATTCATGAGATAGATCTTAAATGAAAATGGAATATTCTCTCCTTTTTTCTCTCTCAGCATGAGCTTTATTTCTCTCATCAGCTCTTTTAGCTTCCCTCCTGTTCTCTCTCCTCCCACCCCGCTCATGTGCGCTGTTTCACAGCTGGAAGTAAACTGCTGTTTGATCTTCAAGCACCCAATCAGTTCTTATTCTCAAACAGCGTGGATTCCCACCATCCAATCAACTTCAAAAGCAGAAACTTTTCCTCTTTCTTTCCTTGTTGATTCCATTTTGATTCCCAACTGTGTGCAAGCAGGTGTTTGTGTGTGTGGGTGGGGGTAAAGGGCTGTTAAGACTGAATCAAAGAGAAATCTTGCCCACTCAGCCAGTATGTAAACACACATTACCGTTATACTATAATGTTTGTGTGCTGGAAAAACTGAGGGTGCATGTTGCAATAAAAGCTTTACTTTGAAAGGAACTGCTTTACATGTGACACACACACTCTGCAATTAAGCCATTTGAAGACATTTAAGAGTATGAGAGGGCAAAACCGTTTTAAAGATTAAATCAGGATTTTAGCCAAAAAGTTAAATAATAAAGTAAAACTGTTAAGTTGCTCGTTTCTGATTGCCTTTGTACGTGTGTTTGGTTTATATTGTGTGAAATCAAATTGAAGAAAAACAACAGTAGAACTCAGGGTATATTTCATAGGGAAAGTAAAATAATTACCACTAATCTGAGAGGGAAACTGAAAAAATACTTCAATTTGCTAGGGAGCATAACAATTGGACTCAGGAGCAATGGAAGAAGATCATGTGGTCTGATGCGTCCAGATGGACGCTGTTCCAGAGTGATGGTGCATCAGGGTAAGAAGAGAGGCAGATGAAGTGATGCACCCATCATACCTAGTGCCTACTGTACAAGCCTGTGGGGGCAGTGTTATGATCTGGGGTTGCTGCAGTTGGTCAGGTCTAGGTTCAGCAACAGGATGTGCTCCAAGAATGATGTCAGCTGACATCTTCCCTGATGGCACAGGCATATTCAGGATGATAACACCAGGATTCATCAGTGTCTCAATGTGTCCAAAACGTACAGCTTTGCAGCCGATAGAAACCCACACCTATTGACGGCAGCTAATTGCTGCATACAACATTTCATCCAAAACACAAAACAGCAGAAAGTAAACCACAGACTTTGTTGGATACATGCTGCAGCTTTTCACTACGTGACATTGTGTGAACTGCCAAAATCATGCAATTATTTGCTGATTTCATGACCAAGTAGGACCAGCTGTGTAGAACACGTTTGCTGCAGTTTAGCGTCGGAACGCTCCCAGTGGGAAGGGACACAATGCCGAGCTCACTGGGTTAATGCATCTATTACATTACATACTGCAAATGCATTTGGTGGAAAGCCTAGGTAAAGCCTCATAAAGCAGAGTTTTACCCTTTTCTTTTTTGTGCACATTCTGACATTTGTTTCCAACATTCCGATCTTTAAAGATCAAAGTCTGTACATCAGTTGTTATTGTCCTTGTGTAAAGTCTAATTAAGGATCAACACTAAATTAAATAGATCTTGGAGAGCAAGAGAATTAAAACTAGTAGCACATCTTTAAACAGAATGCTGTGTATTTGTGGACTGTGGCTGCAGCAGTTTAGCTGAGCCACAGAAAGGTTAGAAATGTCACACACACACACACACATACAGCTTCAATGAAGCAGCTTAACAACATACACACACACACAAACACAAGCATCACACTGCTAATGTGAAGCTGGCACAAGAATCTCCATCTGGAGTCTCTTTTTCCTCGACAATAAAAGCTAAAGGGGTCATATATCTGCCGCAGGTGGGATGCTTTAAAAAAATAGCACCAAGAATTTTTATGATGCATTTTATCATTGGACCAGTCTGGCATTTTTGATGGCTTCTCTCCAAAATTGCAGATACACTTTATATGTTTGTCACCACAGACCCTTACAATAGTTTTTTTCCACCCTATGAACACACACACACGCACACACACACACGCACACGCACACGCGCACACACACACGTTCCTCCTGTGGTTTTGGGAATGGAAAAACCACACCATTACTCCCAGAGCTCACATCTAGTCACTGCCCTTCACTCCACATAACCAAAAATCATCAGATCCACGACTCTCACACATCTCCATGGTGTCACGAAATCACCTCATTACCTCATGCAGAAGATTTTTGATGTTTTGGGTCACATTAATCACTTGTGTGAACATACCAGGGTACATCAGTGCAGTCAGACCCTAAAACTGCAGCTGTTCACACTAAAATGAAATTAAAACCATAAAGTGCTTTACAAAACTACCCTGAATGTCCTCAGTTACCAGTAGCTGATAAACTGATTTTTAAACACGCAGACAGAGCATCAATGGTCTTTAGCCTTACCTGCGCTTACAGTGATGGCTTCAATGAACTGGTCTCTCCAGCTGTTGGTCCCTACCAACAGAGCCAGGTTGGTCTTCTTTATAAGCTTGTCCACTGTGTTCTGTCAAAAGGACAAACATTTCCACTGATTATTCATTTTAAATTGGTTTTCTCTACTTTTTCCAGATAGTTTTGACTGTTGCTGCTTCTGTCAGATTATTTTGTTTTCTACTGAAACCAGCAAGAGAAGACAAAAAACAATCAACACTTTAAAAGGAGTGGAAAGTATGGCCACCGAAGGAGAAAACTGGTTATAGTCTGAAACAAAAAACAATAACAAATCAGTTTTAAAGTTGTACTAAAATAGAAATGGATTTGTCCCAATCTTGTGGAAATAATCGCAGCTCAGTGTTCCTTTTTGACACTTTAATTCCTTGAATGGATGCACATCAGTTTATCTTGAGTTTTACACTTATTCTTAATTAGAGGTCGACTGATAAAGGCTTTTCTATTGACGATACCAAGAACCATATGTAGGAAACATGGTCAGCCAATAAGCAATGTGTACTACCGATTTTTATAAGTCGATTTCCATGGTTCATATCTAGATGCTTTCCACCTTATTAGACACCCAAAACTGTTAATTTAGAGGATTTATAATGCAGATGTTATGAGTGAATGTAAAAACATGTTTGATTAAAATACCCAACCACACTGGGCTGCCCGAGGATGGCTGACTTTAAAGCTTTAAATCAGCTTTACTAAGGACAAATATTGGCCAATCCCGATTATTAAAAAAATGATAAATATCATCTTGATATATCAGCCAATCCTGATATAAAAAAAAAAGATAAATATCGTCCCGATATATCTGCCAATCCCGATATATAAAAAATAAATATCGGCTCGGTATCAGCCAATCCCGGTATATTAAAAAAACAGATAAATATCATCTCGATATTTAATCCAATCCCGATAAAAAAAAAAGATAAATATCGGCCCGATATATCATCCATTCCCAATGTACAGGTATAAAAAATTCCGATAAATATCATCTCGATATATCGACCAATCCTGACCGAAAAACAAATAAAAGATAAATATCGATCCGATTTATCGGCCGACCAATGAATTGGTCTACCCTGATTCTTAATCAGTTTTTTACTTCACATTTATTATTTTTTATTTTTTTTATTTTCACCATTTCTCAAATTGCTCCAATGCTAATAAAGGTCCTGTTTTCTTGACAAATAAGTAATGAAAACAATCCAATTACAGATAATCTACATGCAGTTGATGCCATTCTTCTACAGCAATCACACGGGCAGAAAAATCGCAGCAACAAAACTATTTATTACTGCAATTTTAAATATATATTCTTAAAAATAAGGAATTTGTAACTTTGGTTACTTTTACAGGAAATCTGCATTCTTTAAAGAATAAGAGGGAAAATATAAATTTTCAGATTATCTGGTGAAAAGACTATACAGATGACAGATCATTTGCTGCTGTGGCCCCTAGACTCTGGAACTCTCTCCCCCTGAGCCTGAGATCAGTGGACTCAGTGGTTTCCTTTAAAAAGCAGCTGAAAACTCACCTGTTCAGGCTGGCTTTTGTGTGACCTTCATCATCACCCTCTCCTTGTTCTGCTCTCACTACCTATTCCACCTTCCTCAGGATCCACTGATTTCCCTCTTTCCTATTCACTCTCTCTTTCTTTACATTTTTAATCACAACTGTCTACTTTTTGCTCATTTAAAATATATTTTTAATCATTTTCTAAATTCCTTTTTATATTTTTACATTTTTTGTTTTTGTGAAGCGCCTCATGTTTTTTTTTATCTTGAAAGGCGCGTTAGAAATGATATTTTCTTATTCTTCTTCAATATTTTTGCACCTCTGAAACAATCTGGATCACTTCTAGATCTTTATGAATTTGACTTGTGTGGATGTGATACATTCACTGTCACTTTCTAATCAGTTTTGATGGCTTTTCAGCTTTAAAATATGTTTAACTTAATGTGCTTATTGAAGTAAGAAATGCACTTCCCCATCCTCTGAACATTTACGTTTAAGCATATTTTAAAACAGTCCCTATTGCATTTCTCTTGTTTTCATGTGTTTGCTTAACTCTTGATCTACCTTGATACAACCTTTAAAAGGCAAGAACTAAGACCTGTTAGGAAAATACAGCACACACACACACACACGCACACACACACACACGCACACACACACGCGCACACACACGCACACACACACACACACACACACACACACACACACACACACACACACACACACACACACACACACACACACACACACACACACACAGTAATCAGAGGAGCAGTGGGGATTATGCTCTCTCTGTGTTCTGAACACTTCAGAGAGAAAGCTAGGATGCTAATTGTGTTGAATGGAGCTTAGGGATGTAAAAAGTACCTCGCGGCTGCTGTGGACACACACTCAACCAGCTTTCTTCTGAATATCGAATATTTAGGCACAATTACCCCTTTTCTTTCTTCCAGTTATTTTCATCTTGTTCACTTCTTTCAGCTTTCATATGTAACTTAGCTTATGTGAAAATAATGAACTTATTTGTATAAGAGTTTTCATCAGTGTTTAGAGCTACACACATCTAAGACACAGCTAATAGAAATAAAATGTCAAACTAGGGCAAGAATAGGAAAAATGATGGAAAAACGATCAATTTTGGTACTAAAATTGGCATTTACAACATTTTTGTGCTGTGTGTATACCTGGGTCTCATCTGGCATGACTTAATTGCAAACAAATTAAATTGTGTAAATGTACTTTTTTTTAATTGCAGGATTTTCATGGTCTCAACTTGATTGCGATTTACCATCATCGTATTTGGAATTGAGTTGAAAATCTCTATCACTGCCACTGAGCTGTGACTGTTGGCAACACGTTATTAATAGCACTTGAATAAAAATTGTCCAGGATGTTTAAAAACAATCACAAGGCTTCACAAATTGTCTGCATGACGTTTCAGAGCCTGCCTTTTGGGTTGCTTGTTATTTGAACCGGTTTAAAGATAAAAGAAACAGCTGTAGAGATGCTGAGAGAGCCAGTTTAGTTTATGACAAGGTATTTCAAAATGAGGGCCAAAATCATCAAGTTGAAATTCTTCATCATTTTTTATATTTAATAAAACACAACAATTATTAAAAAGTGATTGTTTAGTTATAATGCAAAAAAAAAGACATTAATAAAAATTCTAACATAAATGTATTAAAATAGCCAGTTTAAGTCAGCAGCGATTTCCACCATTCTAAAGGATATGTAGGGGTGCATAAAATCACTCTAAAAGCAACAAATGGCTCCTAGGCCACACCTTGGACATCTCTGGTTCATGAGGATCCAAAATCTAAGAATTTTGATAATTTTGATCAGGCTGGTGACCAAATTACAAAGACTTAAGTCTTTGCTTTTTCACCTAATGGTCATCAGCCATGTAGCACTGACTTCTTATCAATGGCACCATTTGAATGCAAAGTGGTAACAGATCTTTGTGTGAGAGTGGACCTCTGACGCACAGGTGAACTCTGTAGTGAGATCCTGCTTTATTCAGCTCCGGCGCCTTGCAAGGATTAAACATATGCTATCCAGAAAGAACCTTCAGATTGTGACATCTGCATTTGTGCTTTCCAGACTCGACTACTGCAACTCTTTGTATATCGGTCTGACCACTTCCACACTGTCAAAGCTGCAGATGGTTCAGAACACCAGTGAGGTTCATTACCGGAGTGAAAAAATGGGAGAGCATCAATCCAGTATTACTGGTGCTGCAGTGGCATACGGTAAAACATTGCATTGAGGTCAAGGTTCTTGTATTTACATTCAAGTCACTAGCAGGGACTGCACCACCTTATCTATCATCACTACTGCAGAAACACGCCCCCTTAAGATCACTGCGCTCCGCTGCCAACAACCTACTGGTTGTTCCACGAACCAAAGTCGCGGAGATCGCGCTTTTACTGCTTTTGCCCCAAAACTGTGGAATGCCCTTCCACTGGAATGAAGGCTCACAACTTCACTTGGGGCTTTTAAAGCAAAACTGAAAATGCATTACAGACTCAGCACCCCGCTAGGCCTCTGTTCTGATTGTTTTAACTGATTGTGTCAACTGACCTTGTGATTATATGTAGGATTTTATTGCTTTGGTACTTCACATGAATTCATGTGTAGTACTTTTACTTTTTATCAGGTATCCCTTATTATTTTAATGTTTGTTGTTTTTACACTGCTGTGTTCAGCACTTTGAGCTGCATTGATTGGCAGCAGGAAGGCACTCTATAAACAAATAAATGAAATGAATGAAATGAAATTACAAAAATATTTTGGGTAAACTGCAATCGAATCAAGACAAAATAAAACCTGAAAGAAATTTTTATGACAGATCCACACTTGTCTCAATGTATTTGGGACATAAAATAGTTCTCAGTTCAGTTTTGTTTCTCCAACCAGACACTAGCTTTGCACTCTAACATGCTGATGCATGTTCAATTTACCATTCTTTCCTCTCATTTTGGTATGTTTACACTGTTTACATTTCTTTACAACAAATTCAAAGTTTGATTAAAATCTTCTGGAAACATGATTTTTGTAATATAACCTCTATAATAAAGACAATCAGAGTAAAGTTGCGCTTTTACTAACCAAATACAGCTTTATACAGGCTACTTTGTTGTCAATGCTAGATTGTGGGCATATTTAACTGCCATATATGCCATATATGCCATCTTCCGGAACTGTGCCGCTCTGGGTGGCTGCATGTTGGAGTAGCTCTGTTGACTATATGCAAGTTTAGCCTTTTTTTGGACATTTTTTCTTCTTGTTTCTCAAGAGGGACAGTGTTTTTTGGACATTTTGCTTTTCTGTTTCTGGTGCTGTGAAGCTTAGAGGATTTTTGCTGCAATTTTTTTAACTTTTTGAGGATTTATTATGATGCGTAACCATGGCAACAAACTGGTTTACAATCGGGAGCAGCTGATTAACATTGGAAAGGCTAAAATAATACCTCAACTGAAGCCACAAATCCCAAATGAGCTAAAACGCAAGAAGCGTGGGTGCAGAGTGGGAGCAAAACGGAGACAGAGAAAGAGGAAATTCAAACAGTCTCTTCCATCAATCATAATGGTTAAATTGAGATCACTGGCCAACAAGACGGATACACTCCAAGCCCTTTCAAGGACCCAGCCAGAGTATCGGCAGTGCAGTGTAATGTGTTTCACTGAGACGTGGCTAAAGGACCATATCCACCTCTCTCACCATCTCTCTGCCAGGATTCCTGACTGTAAGAGCAGACAGAGATCTGAAGAGGAGCGGGAAAAGAAAAGGAGGTGGAGTGGCAGTGCTTATCAACAACAGATGGTGCCATCCAGGTCATGTTTCAGTGTAATGTCGTCTCTGCAGCCCAGATGTTGAACTCTTGGCAGTAAGTTGTCGCCCATATTATTTGCCAAGAGAGTTCACCAGTGTTGTCTTGACAACCGTTTATATTCCACCTTCAGCCATTGCTGAAAGTGCATGTGATGCCATCAGTTCCGTTGTCGCTAAGCTACAAACCCAGCGTCCCAATGCATTTGTGGCTATATCTGGTGATTTTAATCATGCCTCGCTCTCTGCTACACTTCCAACATTTCAACAGTTTGTCAGCTGCTCCACCAGAGAAAACAAGACATTGGATTTGTGTTATGCAAATGTAAATAATGCATACATGTCCAAAACAGACCTCCTCTGGGACAATCAGATCACAATCTTGCTTTTCTCTGTTCAGATTACAAACCACTTGTTCAGAGGCAACCTGTGACAAGAAGAACTGTAAGAAAATGGTCACAGGATGCTGAAGAAGCCCTGCCTGGCTGTTTTGAGACCACATATTGGATGACTCTCTGCCTAGGATATGATGAGGACATCAATGCCATGACTGGATGTGTCACTGACTATATAAACTTCTGTGTGGACAACATCATACCCACCAGAACAGTGAGATGCTTCACTAATAACAAACCCTGGATCACCAGTGAACTGAAAAATCTGCTAAATGAGAAAAAAAGAGCCTTCAAGGAGGGAGACAGGGAATTATTGAGCAGTATACAGAAGCAACTGAAGATCAAGATCAGAGACAGCAAGGAGACATACAGGAAGAAGCTGGAGAACAAACTACATAGGAACAATATCAGAGATGTCTGGTCAGGGATGAAGAAGAGCACTTTGTGGCATGGTGTGGAAACAATCATCTGACCTTGAATGTGAACAAAACAAAGGAGATGGATTTTAGACTTCAGAAGAAACAGGGTGGAGTCAAACACTGTTTCCATTATGGAAGAAGAAGGGGAGGTGGTTGAGGAATACAAATACCTTGGAGTTCACCTGTACAACAGACTGGACTGGAGAAAGAACAGCGAAGCCGTTTACAAGAAGGGACACAGCAGACTGCACTTCTTGAGGATGCTTAGGTCCTTCAATGTCTGTAGCAAGATGCTGCAGATCTACAAGTCTGTTGTTGAGAGTGTAATCTCTTCAGTCATCGTCTGTTGGGGTAGCAGCATCAGAAGCAGGGACCTGAAAAGGCTCAACAGCCTAATAAAAAAGGCTGGTTCTGTTCTGGGGACGACTGTGGAACCACTGGAGGAGATAATACAAAGGATTCTCCAGAGAATCAAGAAAATTATGGACAACTCTGAGCATTCTCTTCACAAGACTGTCCGACAACGGAAGAGTGTCTTCAGTCAGAGGCTTCTTCAGTTTCGCTGCAACACTGACTGCTACTGGAGATCCTTCCTGCCAACAGCCATTGTAATATAAAATGACTCTTTGACGACTTGATTATTATTATTATTCTGAGCTACTACAGCAATCAATTTCCCTCTGGGATTAATTAAGTATTTTTGAATTGAATTGAATTCAGTAGATGCAGAAATCCTCTAGTCAACATTGGATTCTGTATTTCATGCAGCACTAAGATTTGTAACCAGTTCTGTTTTTCATACTTTTTACTGTAATTTGCATTAGATATTGCCTCTTTACATTATCGAAGGTTGGAGAGTTGGTATTTTTTTTCTGTTTAAGGCTAAATTGTGTGAACTACCTTCTTAACCGTTTTCCTTCCTCGGTACTGAGGTCACAAAAAGAAGCTACAATCTTTTGTTCCGTAGTTACATTGTGTTTGAAATCCCACCACCTTAAACAGTTTTTGGTGAAAGTGTATTTTGAGTTTGCAGTCAGTTAAAATTACAATGTTTACCAACAATATTGCATGCTGAAGCCAGGATTGAGGATAATTTCAGTACCAGATGCACACGTGTTGTAATGGAAAGCTACAGGTATTTGTTTTTTACTGCACCGTTCTTAGTTGCCCTCTTGGCCAGGACGCACGATTTGGAATTGTAGGATGTCTAAAGATCCCACCTTTCTCGCCTCTGATTGGCTAGAAGGGCATTTCTACAATTGGCTATTTGATTTTGCAGCAAACTGTTTTCCTTGCCAAGTGCAGACTGTCCTCCTGCCATCTACAGAACCGTTGTTTTAGGGAGTTTTGTAAAAGAAAATGCAAGCTTAGCACTCTGATGACCATTCAGTCCTGTTTTGAAAAAAAATAAATAAATAAATAAATAAAATAAATAAAAATAAATTCTGTTTCTTTTATAAAAAAAGTAAAAATAAAAAACAAAATGTGAACTGCTGAATTTATCACAGTGTTGAACTTACTGGTACTTTATATTTGCTGGCTCTCAAGCATTGGGGTTCCTTTATTAGAGCAGAGTACATAGGATAAAATCACCCCAGTGCCCACAGATATAAAGTCAGTCTAACAGTGTGATAAATGCAGCAGTTCACATTTTTATGGCCCTAAGTTCACATTTTCTCAAAAAACATAAAATAAAAAACCCAGACATAAAAACCCTGAAGCGGGGGGAGACGGTTTGCTGTTACATGAAATAGTCAATTGTAAGAGAGCTCTTCCAGCCATTCAGAGGTGAAAAAGCAGATAATTCCTTGGATATCCTACAATTCCAAATGGGCCAGGACTCCCTTGGATAACAAATTTTTAATCCCAGTGGGACTATTTCCTTGTTAAAAAAAAGAGCAAGTCATCCCCAAATCAACTTTTTGTAGCTGATAAACTATATAACGGCGTGTCTAATCATGCTGCAGACACGTGTTGACAATTTAGCACGTTAGTGCATTTTAGTTTCTAATTTTTTATTTTCTGCCTCAAACTGTCAGTGTTGTGCCATTGTTAGGTAAAAACCCTGCACTGCATTTGAATTTAAATATGCCATTGCTATTGGCTAAGAGGTACCCTATAACGTTAGCTGGTACCATATGATGTCACAATGTAGTGAGCCTGTGTGTGTGTGTGTGTATTTTTTTAGAGGCTCTGCCCTCTCGATCTGCTAGCAACAGCATTTGTTGCATTTTTCAAACAGGAAGTGGGAGTGGAGTAAGACTCTGGTAGGGGCTGACTTGCTCTTTAAGGCTACAAACAAATTCTATACTGCCATTTTCTGGCCTCCTTCCTGTCAAAGCTACCACTGCTGTTTCCCAACAAAACTATTTTTTCTTGTATCTTTTCTAATCTCAGAAAATATCTGGATTTGAGATATTTCAATATTGAGATATTTGAGATATTTCAATCAATCAATTAAAAGCTTTGATTGATTGAAAATCTCCATGGTCCTATTTTCATTCCTATTGTTTTTGTCATCCGATATCCACAACCATTGCACTCCGCTGTCAGCCAATGGATGGTACTTCAGATAACTATAGGATCCAGCTCTGCACAAATGCGTACAAAAGTATAATTCCATGCACTGAAGCCTTTGACTAAGTATGGTATTCTGCCAAGTGGCCGGCTATTACTGGGGGTTATTAATTGTCTGTCTGGAGTGAGAATGTAGGTGGAGCGACGGCAAAAAGACATGCATTAGTACACACAAATGTAACACGGATGGTAATTACATCTAAGCTGGTCTTAAGAGTCTGCGTGGGAGAAGAGCAGCGAGGAAACGGCACTCAGATGTTGTGTAACTCAATCCTGTGAAGTTTCTTTTTTTACAATTATGCATCAGTGCCAAACATCAAGATTTGGACCCAAAACTCTTAATTATAAAATATATTAATAATCACTCTTACCTTGAACTCGTATGATTCCTCAATAATGACCTCCAATTTGACATGATCTCCCAGCATGGGACGCCCCATTTCCGCTATGCGCCTCTCCTCTTCGTCTTTACCTGTCAGCGCCTCTTCTTCCTCTACTACTTCTTTTGGCTTTTCCTCTACACACACAAAAAAAAGACAGAAATGCCAAAGTTAGTACAAAAATGCAGAAATGAATCTGGTTTTGATTTTCAACTTTGCAGAGAAACTTGAAAATTTAAAAAAGGAAGAAGGCATCAGGAAGTTCTTCTGTTGCTTCGCTCAAGGATCAGTGAACATTTATATTTAAACACGAACATTAAGAGCGAGCACCAAACCATTATTAGTACTTCATGTTTAAAACAAATCTAAAGAATTAGAACCAGCAGACAGTATTTTTGCTAAACCGATGTCTAGATGTGTCTGGTTTAAACCTACCTTACACGCTTTGCGCTCTAGTCTTTTAATTCACTTTAGTAAATGAAAAATGCATCTTTCGTCTCATTAACCTCGGTCCTCCATGTCCCATTCAGCCTTTTTTCTTGTCTCAAAGTTCTGCGACAGTAATTGAGATTGGTTTTAGAGCCATAACCTGCTGCTTGGATCAAAAAGGGTGAAGGAGCAGAGAGAATGGCTATCAAATTTTCCATAGAACGGTTATCCAGACCATTGCTCCCCATTATACTGCAGTGCATTCTGAATCCACGTGAACTCTCTGGTCATTTTGTTCCCTTTAGTTAAGTTACTGCATGGAGCGAACAAGAACAATCGCACAGTGATGCAAATAAATGTCAGGACCACTTCTGTCAAACTCGTCCTCCATTAAGACAATTTGTGGCTCGTTGCATCGTCACAGGCAGCTGAACAAAGAGCCACCCAAAACAAAACCTTCTGTATGTATTTTCTTTTTGGATTGTGCATGCTTGTTTTATTGTAGCAGACTGAAACGTTTTAAAGTAACACTAAATAGTGTTTAAGCTAGAGCTTTAACATTGATCTCAGTGACTGTTGGGTTAGAAACTTGACCAGTTTTATATTTGACAACACTCTGCTGCCCTCTGCTGGCCAGGTACTACACTTAACAGTTTTGTGAAGCCCTATAGCAGGGATTCCTATCGCGTTTAAAGCGTGCCACAACCCGTGCACGCGCATTGGGTCCACAGCGCGCGTGTGAACGGGACTCGCGAGCGAAAATATACATGGCAGCGCGCGCGTGAACGGGACTCGCGAGCGAAAATATACATGGCGAGAGGTCATTTGTGCACTGAGAGGGAGCAAACTGTGTCTGTGAGCGCACAAGGATGTGCACAAGTGACAAACCTGCGTGCGCGCGTTGCCAACGAGCACACGGCAGAGGAAAACGTGCGCGCGCAGCAGCCTCTCTGCGCGCTCGGCAGCCTCTGCGCGCTCGGTTTCTAATTCCGCTCGCTCGGCTGTGAGGAGTTTTGGCACTCTGGAGGCGTGGCCTGTGGCAGATCTTCCCTATCCTCTGATTGGTTAGTTTACCCCGCACTTTACTCTCTAGCTATCTATATAAAAAAATCTGAGATTCAGTAGTTGCTGTCATAGCACAGCTGGGAGAGCGGGTGACTCTCACTCTGGAGGATCCAGGTTCGAGTCCGGCCAAGTAACATAGAGTTGATGTCATATTATTCTTTCCTAATTTCTGTGATATTATTTTACAGTTGTGACCGTTCAACTGTCATTAAATGTCCGAATGTTTGCTGGGCAGCGTTTTAAAAAGTGCACATAAGCTAGATGGTTTTAACCAGGTAAAAATAGACTTGTGGGTGTAGGTATGTTCAAGTTTAAAAAGTTCTTGCCTCATTAATGTATTGTTTATTTTTTTCAGCATTTAATTGACAAATTATCCTTTCAAATAATTAATTGATGAGTTACATAATTGTCCATTTAGAATTGTTGAATGGACTGAGTCAAGTTTGGTGCACTTTATATATTTCAAAACATGTTTTTTTTTATTATGCATATAAATAATTTTAATGTTAATTTATTGAAATATTTCTATTTCTTCATTACCTCACCCTTGTTTTGACAAAAACAAGACCTTGCTGGATAATATCATGGAGAAACTATTTGTTCACAGTACTTGGCTCAGTGAGGATCTGTATACCAAAGGAGGAGATGCTCAGAAATCTGTCTGCAGATTGTTACAACCCAGACTGGAATTGGTGGGCTGTAATAAGAAAGGAGACCAAACAGAGGAGTGGGGGTTCAACAACTGATTTATTTAACCACAGTAAGGATTTACTAAAGCAAGTTAGTGCAGTCAAGAATTACTGGTGTTTGGGTAGTCCTGAACGTGTTGTGATGCCCCCACCGTCTCATTGGGTTTTCATTTGTGTTTAATTGTGTTTTTCTTCTGTTGTAGGCAGCTCGTTAAGCAGCCTTGGAGGCACCTGGACTCAGGGTGTGGTGCTGCCTACAAAGCCTACTGTTTTTCTGCTTTCACTGGGTCTCTCCTGTGTGGTGGAGAGTCCTCACTGGCCATTTTCTGTTCACTAACTTGCTTTAGTAAATCCTTACTTTTGTTAAATAAATCAGTTGTTGAACCCCCACTCCTCTGTTTGGTCTCCTTTCTTATTACAGCCCACCACTTCCAGTCTGGGTTGTAACAATCTGCAGACAGATTTCTGAGTATCTCCTCCTTTGGTATACAGATCCTCACTGAGCCATGTACTGTGAACAAATAGTTTCTCCATGATATTATCCAGCAAGGTTCCGTTTTTGTCAAAACAAGGGTGAGGTAATGAAAAAATAGAAATATTTCATTAAATTAACATTTAAATTATTTATATGCATCATTAAAATAAAAAAAAACATGTTTTGAAATATATAAAGTGCACCAAACTTTACTCAGTCCATTCAACAATTCTAAATGGACAATTATGTAACTCATCAATTAATTATTTGAAAGGATAATTTGTCAATTAAATACTGAAAAAATAAACAATACATTAATGAGGCAAGAACCTCTCTCTCTCTCTCTCTCTCTCTCTCTCTCTCTCTCTCTCTCTCTCTCTCTCTCTCTCTCTCTCTCTCTCTCTCTCTCTCTCTCTCTCTCTCTCTCTCTCTCTCTCTCTCTCTCTCTCTCTCTCTCTCTCTCTCTCTCTCTCTCTCTCTCTCTCTCTCTCTCTCTCTCTCTCTCTCTCTCTCTCTCTCTCTCTCTCTCTCTCTCTCTCTCTCTCTCTCTCTCTCTCTCTCTCTCTCTCTCTCTCTCTCTCTCTCTCTCTAAGGGAGTTTGCAGTGTATTAGTGAGTCATATATTGTACAATCACAGTCATAAAGTTTTCAACCAGTAGTTTTATTTCAGTATGTATTTTTCCAGTATCACAAAAAATGTAATTTTATATGGTTAAAACCATCTAGCTTATGTGCACTTTTTAAAACACTGCCCAGCAAACATTCGGACGTTTAATGACAGTTGAACGGTCACAACTGTAAAATACCTGAAATTAAGAAAAATTAACATGACATCTACTGCATTTTCCTTGCCCGGACTCGAACCTGGATCCTCCGGGGCGAGAGTCACCCACTCTCCCAGCTGAGCTATGCCAGCAACTAATGAATATCAGACTTTTTTATATAGATAGAGGGTAAAGTGCGGGGTAAACTAACCAATCAGAGGACAGAGAAGATCTGCCACAGGCCACGCCTCCAGAGTGCCAAAAGCCCTTACAGCCGAGCGAGCAGGAGTCAGAAACCGAGCGCGCAGAGAGGCTGCCGAGCGCGCACAGAGGCTGCCGCGCGCGCACGTTTTCCTCTGCCGTGTGCTCGTTGACAACGCGCGCACGCAGGTTTGTCACTTGTGCACATCCTTGTGCGCTCACAGACACAGTTTGCTCCCTCTCAGTGCACAAATGACCTCTCGCCATGTATATTTCCGCTCGCGAGTCCCGTTCACACGCGCGCTGCCATGTATATTTTCGCTCGCGAGTCCCGTTCACACGCGCGCTGTGGACCCAATGCGCGTGCACGGGTTGTGGCACGCTTTAAACGCCATAGATTCCCTAAGTGTGGGTGCACGAGCTGCCGCTAGGGGGTGCGCGAGACTAAAAGTGTAATGGCTGCGGAGCTCAGAGAAGTCTGGCATATGTCACCATTAGCGTAGCCAGAAAGTCATTTGTGGGTGGGCCTAAGAAAAAGTAAGTTGGCCCAAAAAATTTAATTGAAAACAAGTATATTTTGCTTATGTGTGTGTGTGTGCATGTGCCCTAGCTTCATAATAATAATGCGCTCCAAGCTTCTGCACTCTGACCTGCGCACGCTGTTAATAGCAAGATATGTTCAGTATTTGACCATTTTTATCGGTGTTGGAGAAATCTGAAGGTGGCGAGTCATTCTGGCAGATTCTAATTAACACCTGTCTCATGCAGGTGTTCTGACATTGTAAACCTCACACACAGAACATTGTGGATGTAACAAAATAAATCAAGAAATGATTCCCATCTGAGCATTTTAGCATTATTATACCATTATATTAGCACACTGACTGTGGGACAGCATTCTAAACGTTTCAGGCTATTAACAGCGCGCTGAAGATCTGAAGTTTAGAGTGTGTCTGTCAGACGTCAGACGCGTTCCAGCGGAACCACGGCTCACGGGTGCACATGTGAGCACATCTGGGCTGGGCAGAAGTAATTTTACAACACTGGTTTAAATAGCGCCAATAATTAAACGCAGTGACTTGAGCAGCTCATGGAGCTGTGCTGCACACACACACACAGACACACACACACACACATACTGATTCAACAAGCGCACGCTGCGCAAACTCCAGCGCTGCGCTGTGCAGTCAGACTGAAGGCAGAAATGAGCGCTGCCTCCTCCGTGATAAAAACTTTTAAGAGATTTTATAACAACATTTTTCATTCAAGGTCAAATTAAGATATTAGCTTCTATTTTGGGATGACGTATTAAAGTCGGGTCCGCTCCAGTCAGTGACTCCTCATGAACCTGACCACAACTCATGTTACTGCAGCATTTGTTATTCCAGTCCGCGTGGCAGCGGATCGCAGATTCAGCCACACCATAAAACAGCAATAAGTCTGTCTGAGGCAAAAGTGAACCTCATGGCTTTTCCATTTTTTCCCCTATAGACATTTGATTACGCACAAGTAGG